GCAACTCATTTTTAGTCGCCCGTTAGTAGTCACATACAATTTCTCCCTTTAATTGGAAACCGCCGCGCCGGTTTACTTTTCTACGCGATTAATGTCGCAATTTGGTGCTAATTTTTTTTCTCGCGAATCGAATTATCTCGCCGCTTAATCTGAATTTTTCACAAAATATGAAAATACCTTAGGCTAACGTACAGGTGATCGACTTACTAACTTACTAACTACTAAACTTTTTTCGGACCGCCCAACGTGAACATTCTCACGGTTTAACGCGCATTTCCGCGCGATATAATCTACATTTCTCGATGGATTCCTCCGAACAACTACTTTACCTTTTCTGATTCACGCCCATTCTGTTACTCAGATCCTCTCCACTAAAAACAACTCATTTTTTCTAGCCAATCAGACGCAACGCTCCTTGAGCCAATTTCCCGAAAAGTTAGCAAAAAACCGCTCGCACGCATTTAGAAAGTCAGGATCGCAAAAAAATTGTGACACAAAGCCAATGCTTCAAACCCGAACATTCTACGATTATTCCTTCGAAAGTTATACTTAAAAAAACCATAGCAGCCGACCGACCGACCGAACAGCCAAAGTGGATATAAATAAACGATACCTATTTTTTTTTCAAAAACGCGCTACAAATTCCGTCAATCCGTCAACGAGCTCCCGTTACAAAATTAAGATATCGTCTGGGGCTGGACGAGGGACAAGCAGGGGCTATTTCTCTGGCCTCCACAAAGCTATTCGCATCAAAAACTGGATTTTCCGGTGACTGCGGGAAGAGAGTGATCTTGCAGGCTCTATCGGGATTGTCCTACAGCCGTACAGCTTTACAACAGAAGACGAAGAGCTTGCCGCCTGTCCTGAAGATGACATGTCCCTCAAACCAATAGCTTGTAACGTTTTTAGCTTTAAAGTCATTTAGATATGCCGCATGTATATTTCTTCTGTAAATTCATGTAATTAGATTGTTGGTATAAGATTTCACCTCGTAGTTTACTTTTCTGTCGTTAGAGGTCATGCGAAGTATCTTTCTCTGATTAAAGTATGTCCCCTTTGGCTTGCGCTTAAGCTAATCCTTGTAGATAGTAGATCGTAAGCTGTTGTTGCATTGTACTTTGTAAAACTTAACACGCCATTTTACTAGGTTTTTTTGACTTTTAAGGGATTTATATTGGCCGTTATTAAATTTATTTGAAGTTTATTTGATGTAATATTCTTGACACACTTCATTGACGCATTTGCGGATATATTTTACAAGTTTTAAAATCCGGCAGGTATGCATTTTTAAGATGGCACAACAATCAACTAGCATTGAGTATTTCGTTTGGTTCTTCCTGTTTCTCTTTTTGTTTTGGTACCTAAACGTTTCGATCTACATTGACATCCCTTGTGAAATATCTACGCAGAATTTGAATTGCACAGCATTTGGACATTACCTCACCCGCAATTTTGACGTAATTTGCCATTGACGTGCCTAATTGTCCAAAGACGTAGTTATCCTATATCGAAAAACTTACTTATTGTTCCTGGATTTAAGTGCAAGTATTATATCGACTGCCTTTTTGGAGATTATCGTTAACTGCGGATTGTCCCGATATAACTCGTGAGACCTTTCGACACCGATATCTTCAATTTTATGTATGTTAAATTTTGTCATGGTAGCTGGATTACGTTTCAAACCATTTTCTGTTGTACAATGGCATTACATTTATTCTTGCCGTTTTATATACGCGACCCGTTTTCAAACTAAAATTTTCCTTTTCCTTTCTAACGTTATTTAAATTACTGCTTTGTCGCTGAATGTTAATTACGATTTAGTATTCGACTTACCCGATCTGTATCAAACGTTAAATTTGTCTCGCGCTGTATACACCGTGCTTCTGTTTTTGTGTTTGTATCTGATTGCAAATTTTTGGCAACAGCGCCCTTCTGAGCTCAGAAAGGTTGCGTCTAGGGTTCAAACGTAAGGTGTTTATTTTCGTCGATACTCCGTGAACGTTTGTGCACTCTGGTTTTCGTTACAGCCGAATTGTAGTTAATATATTTCTTCTGAGACTACAGTGTAACTCAGCTGTTTTTTAAAGATAGGTGTACTTGCGGTTTTTGCAACCATGTGCCATTTTTTTGCGAATATTTTAATACCACAAACAGAATCAACCTAGCCACGTTTGTTTCTGATATACAAGGTGAAACCGAAAAGTTTGACATTTTGACGTTATCATATCGTACTGTCCATGTGAGAAATCTTAGGAAGAGAGTGGCATTGTGCTCAGAATTAGGAGGTGGGCATGAACGCATGTTGTGATGTATTTTGTTCAAAATTTAATTATAATTTCCTTGCAAAATGAAGGTTCAATTCTGTTCAGATGAAAATCGAATTTCTACTTCTCTGACAACGCTGCATCCAGACAGATGGATCAAACTGTCAAACTTTTATTTACAACAAAAGAACGTTTTGTTTTTCCAAAGCACTCTTCTCAAAAAATTAAACATTGTATTTTTAAGAAAAATGTGATACTGAACCACCATGTGTGATACAATGCGATAAAAAATGAGTTGCTGTTTAGTCACCTTTAGAATGTTTGTTTACATGGGAAATCGTACTTAACTTGAACTTCCAAAGGCAACTCGACAGCAACTCATTTTTGATCGCCCGTTATATCGTTGTAAAGAGAAAAAAAGACGTAATCTCAAAATGTGAAAATTCAAAATGGCGCCCATAAGAAAAACCAAAGTTGCCACGTGTTTCTCATTCATCTTGAAAGTCATTAAAAACAGGTTGTCATATTCGAAATCTCCATTAAAAAGTGTCCGAATAATGTGTTAATTAGAAATGTCTACTACGATTAGTTTATCATAAAAAAATTAAAAACGAAAATCAGAAATTTTCGTTTTTTTGCGATATCTTCAAAACTATTGAAGATATTTCAAATTTCTCTTCAGATTCTTATTCAGTACGAAAATTTGCAACATTGCCTCCTTTTAACCAACTTTCTATCTCTTAAGATTAGTGAGATCCCCATAGTAATGGACACCGTGTATGAGCTACAGTCTGAATACACTAACAAAAGAGGAGAATGTAGCCCCCCCTCCTCCCAACAGTTTTTCATGAAGAAATTGCTTTTAAAATTATTTCGAACCTAAATGTAACTAACTGTTATGTTCACTTTGGGCAAAAGTAACAATATTGATGGTTTCAAAAAGCAATATGTAATCAAACGATAAAGTAGGGGAAATCGACGAAAATAAGAAAATTTATCTTTTAAACTACAAGTCGCAACGACCTTGTTGAGCTCAAGAAATCTGTAAACAGACAAAAACACAACAAGAAACAAAAAGAGGGGTAATGATCGCGCTGCATAAAATATTGCGTATTAACGTTTGACACTGAGGCTAATCGTATACTGAGAACTGCAATTAATACTTAAAATGACCCAATAACTCGAATGACTTTAACCTATCAAAAGTAAATTTTGGTTCGACTACTAATTGCATAAAAATGACGTTAAATTTTAAGAAAAATACTTTAAAAGGTACATACAGCATAATTTCTATTCAATAGCAATATAAACAAACTAGTATAAGTAAATTCTTACTGTTCGCTTAGGATGGCCCCTTAGCCGATATTCCCCTCGAGAAATGACCCAAACTTGCACTTTTTGAAAAAAATTACCAATCCTCAAAGGGCATAACTCGATATTTATTAAACCTACAAAGCTGCGGTTATACTGAAACTTGAAAACAATCATTTGATACATAGGATACGCCATTAGGTGGATATAAGCCAAAAACTAAAATTTCTTCGAGCATCACGCAGCATCTTTTCAAGGGGCAAAAATTAAGACTACAGAATTGTTTGCGTTGATGTTTTAATAACAGCCCTAGAAGTATAGCATTGGGTTGAAACCTATAAAGACCTAAAACAGCAACTGTGTTTTGGATTCGGTTACGACCATTTCTATACTTGGGCTCAGTGAAGGGCCCTTTGAACCGAGAATTGGAATTATAACAAAACCCTATTTCTCTTGCACATTCTTACCCTCTGACCTCAAACCTTTCGGCATTGAATCTATCTGGAAAACAAATAGGCGGCATACAGAGATAAATTTCGTAACGGGAAGTTGCAAATGATTAAAGGGCACCTGACCGTACGCAAACATTTACGTTGAAAGCTATTGGCAATCAGTCTATCCAGTTCAACAACAATTTCTTTACTCTCTTCCCTTCACATTTTCGGTGGTTATAATATTTATAGAGAACATAATCTATTTAACGAAATGATGATGTATTTTGGTTTGCAGCATTTCATGTCTGTAACGACGGCAGTTACAGTCCCCTTGCTCATCACGATACTTGAAATTGATGAGCTTTTGAGTTTCTAAATGAGTTCTCATCTTAAGTTATAAACTTTGGGTAAGTTAGGTTAGTTTAACCCTCATTTTCTACTCCATGTATTGTTTCAGGCACTTCGGCATGTTATTAGAATTACTTTGTGCGTAAAGTTCGCGAAGGGACAAGGGTTCGTTGTAGTTCAAACGCGAAATGTTTTCGTTTCTTAGTGAAATGTGGAATACTTTTCATTCAGAAAAATCCTCAACACCTTACGAGTGTAGAACGACTTGATACTGTACGTTTGGACCATTTGGCTTGAGCTGGTCTATTCGCAATGTGCGTCAATTCCAAAATGACGTTTATAAAGGCAGGGTGGCCATTATGCTCCAGGTCGGCCATGTTTTTTCCAATTTGGTTTAACCGAATTAGTAGATTTTGCTATAATTACGAAATGCTGCCACAATTGAGTCCATCAAGATAAATTCATCACCTTAGTTTCCAGGTTAGTTTCCACCAATCTGGGGTTTGGCAAAAAAATGGCGGCTTTTCCAACGACCAACAGACACCACCGTAAGACCACACTGTCTCTCTAGAATCAATGTACTGTGGACCATGGTGGCGTATAAAAGAAGAACTTTATGTATGAACCAAACTTTTCTTACCCATATTAATGTATTTATTATTTTTTAAATAAATAAAAATAAATTCTTATAGTGAATTTTAAGTTTACAATGTTTAAATGAGTGGTAGCTTCAGCTAAATCAGGGGAATTTTGTACCCCACAATGCAATGAAGTATCACAAGGTGTTTAGGTCATCATCATTTTCAAAAGGTCCTTAGGTTCTCGATCGGCAAAAGTAAGAGCAAAGAATCCTATTTTAACGCAGTTAACCACACGAATAGCGTCTACTTGTTCATTTTGTTCAAAATCGAAATCAACCATATCATTATCGACGAATTCGGCCGTGTTATTTCTGTTAATGTGCGCAAATTCTGTGAAGTAATCGATGAACGCGTCTTTGTTGACAATTCCCTCGGCGTTCATTACGCCATTTTTCTTCCAAAAGCAAGCGAAAAACTTTCCCACAACGTCGTTGTTGTACGACGTTTGAAAGTCGTAAAATTCCTTTTGCAAGGTTTCGTAAGCAATTCCAGTTTCTTTTGAGCAATCTTGCTGGGTGTTGGATGCAGAAAACTGGAAAAATGTGACGGTGTAATAATCCTACCATGCGCTTAATGAACTTACTTGGAAGAATGATAAAATGAGCAATAAATATGGTAGCATGGGCATTTTTCTGTCTATACCGAGACGGTTACAAACTGGTAATATTGCGATGTTGTTAAACTCGGCTTTATCAGAGCTTTAAGGTTATCAACTATTCGTGCTTATACATAGTCAATTCAAACTGAAGGTGCTCTTCTTTATTTTCATTCAGTGTTTCTCAAACCATGGGACACGCTCTCTAAGAGAAGTTAATTTTGCAAGGGAGCGCATCGAAATAAAGATAAAATAAAATTATTGCACACGATCTTTCCTTAGTACAAGCTCCTGTACCGTCAACTATTCGTTTACTTCTAAATAGAAATTTCTCTTACGATTTACAGTGTGTCCCAAGTAAAACGCGCCATAGGGAAACAGAATTGTATTTTTATACATTAATTCTGTTTGCCTGTTCACCCTGGGACACACGGTATATATCACCGAGCCAGTCGCTAACCTTGGATGGGACTCGATAGCTGCGCCTCCTGTCTGTGATACTCGCTACACTGCCCCCCTCTTAAAACTGTTGCGAGAGTATATTAAGACAAATTTAATGGCACGACGCGTAGCGGAGTGCCTTTAAACGTTGCAAGTGCTTTAAAGACCAATTATACACGTCTTATATTTCTTTTTATTATACCTGCAATATAATTATGTATAATAAAATTTGTCGTCCAACAAGCATTCGCACTGGAACATTTCGTTTTTAGCGCATTTTTGAAAAAAAATACGCTATTATATTCGTTATTGCTGGCAGGCCGGCTGTCCGCGTTAGATCTCCACAACTACAATAGCTAGAGACTTCAAATTTTCACTAAAAGCTTCCTGCTATAGTGTAGATGTGCAGCCACTAGTCTATTTTGAGTTAGATTACTTGTGAGATCGATAATTGAAGAAAATAATTTCGATATGGGTTTCGGAGGTGCTATAATTTTACCGTTAGATAGCGCTACCAGTATAAAAACTTATTATTTACTTTGTGATTCGTTTTACAAAATGAAGACGTACCGTCAATTGAAATTAAATAATAGTATATTAAGATACAAGTGTATAATCAAGTCTTTAAAGCACGCGCAACGAGTTTAAGGGCACGACGCAAAGCGGAGTGCCGTTAACGTTGCAAGTACTTTAAAGACCAATTATACACGTGTATCTTATAGTATTTTTTATTATACCTGCAGTATAATCTAAAAATAGGAAATACAATGAAGTCATATTGACGTTATACTCAAATATACATGTCTAATTAAGTGGGCTGGGTGTTCGTAATTTCACGATTGCCATGGAAATGTCACTTGACGTTTGCTTAAAAAATCATCGTCTTTGTGAATTAAACGATTTCCGTTGAAAAAGATAATACACCGTCCATTAAATCGATTGTTGTAAATTCTAAACAAACGTTGGTAGGTGTAAAATCCAACTCCAGTAAAGCCTATTAAAGAATATATAATTGTTTCCATGGATGAATAGGAAGTTACTTACGAATACAGCCTTAAATGCATCCATAATGCTGGCATATATGAAGGAAATGTCAAAGGTATTTAAATCTTCTATATTTTGGTGCATTCATTCAAAACTTTAAAGCAATGCTGCGATTAAAAAGTGGAACAGATTTGGAAGCATACCCTAAATTACGCGCGTTTGTGAAAGCTTCAACGAAAGGATAGGTACAAAAGCCAAAGAAATGTTCTGCATTTACAGAAAGCGACCTAAGAGGATTTTTTATTTCATCCAGATGACAGTTTCAAAAGTCATACTTGAAGTATCGTTACTTAGCAACTTTAAAGCACGTGTGTTTTAAAGGCCCTTTTTCGCACGCATTTGAGTGTTTAAAACGGAGATTGTGATTCAGGTATAATAAAAAATTCATTATTTAACGCAGCCAAAATTACTCGTGAGATCGATAATTTTAAACTTCGCTAATCAAATACTGACCTGCATTACCAAACATGCGCTTTAATCATGCATTATGCTGATTTACAACTTGTTTGGCTATAGCCCGGTCTTCCGACATGTTTTGTAGTTGGTCAAAATTGGTTTTTAATTGGACTACAAAATTAGTCTCTAATTTGGACGTACCTATTACAGTGGAGTTGGGTGCTACCTTGTCGTACAACAAGCATTCGTACTTGAAAATTTTGTTTTCTGGCCATACCTTGGCCTTCTGAGATTTTTTGAAATTAGTCTTTAATTATACTACAAAATTCGTCTCTAATTAAGGCTTATTACATCAGAGCTGGGCAGTATTCGATTTTGTAAATACTTTTTAGTATTCAACTCTTTTAAAGTATTCAAATACTTTGTAATTAAATACTTTTATGGAAGCAGTATTTGTATTTGAAACTCAAATACTTTCACAAATATTTAGTATTCGAATACTTCGCAAAGTATTTGGATACTTCGTAAAGTATTCGAATAATAGTATTTGAATACTTAACCTTCCACCAAAAATCGACTACACCAAAATTTCTCGGGAAACCACTTTTTCTTATTAATTTTTGTGCGTAGAATCCAAAACAATTCGTACTTTTTCGATCAGACTTCACAATCAAAGGTTATAGACTAGAAACCAATTTCGAAAAAAAATTCAAAGGGCTGTAACTTTTGAACTAGTAGCCCAATCTTGGAACTGTTTGAAATTATGGATTCTACAGGCCACATTCTATAAGAAAATTTTTTCCGGGTCGATCTGAGACAATTTTTTTTGGGGCCTCAAAAAAAGGCAGTGTATAACCTTTCCTTTTTTACCAAAAATCGACTGCACCAAAATTTCTCGGGAAAACACTTTTTCTTATTAATTTTGGTGCGTAGAATCCAAAACAATTCGTACTTTTTCGATCAGACTTCTCAATCAAAAGTTATAGACTAGAAACCAATTTCGAAAGAAAATTCAAAGGGCTGTAACTTTTGAACTAGTAGCCGGGTCGATCTGAGAATTTTTTTTTCGGGCTTCAAAAAAAGGCAGTGTATATATAACCTTCCTTTTTTACCAACAATCGACTACACCAAAATTTTTCAGGAAAACACTTTTTCTTATTAATTTTTGTGAGTAGAATCCAAAACCATTCGTACTTTTTCGATCAGACTTCTCAATCAAAAGTTATAGACTAGAATCCAATTTTGAAAGAAAATTCAAAGGGCTGTAACTTTTGAACTAGTAGCCCAATCTTGGAACTGTTTGAAATTATGGATTCTACAGGCCACATTCTATAAGAAGTTTTTAGTCGATAGTCGGAAAAATGGCATATTATTGTTTTGTTTATGTCATCACAAAGCATGTGATTTCCGTACTGTACGGGAATCTTAATTCCTGTACAGTACGGGAAAATATCTATATTCTTGTGAGCATGAAAAAATAAAAGAACAGTTATACACGCAAATGAATAGTTTATTGCCTATTAATATGTACAGTCTCTTGTAAAAGTAATGTCCCTCGGATACCTACCACTGTAGCATAGGCAACCAACATCCCAGCCGCCTAGTCCAAGTTGGATTTGCGGGTGTGCGAGGTAGTTATCTAATGCGGTTCATTTTCAGCAGATATTCCCATTTAGCCAAACTAAATACTAGTTAGTAGAATAAAAGTGAATGCCATCGATTTATTAGCTCAAAGGATTTGCGCTGCATATCCTTGGCTTGGTGCAGTAAACATTTTTACATTTCTTACAATTGGTTTGGTGCGTTTTAAATTTGCAAATAGTTTAGCTAGAGACTATTAAGACAAAATAATGGCCTTTCACTTTTTAATTTTTTGAGTAGGTTTTCTTCTAACGAAATAAAGGTGATATTCTTGTCCTTTAATGACATTGAAATTCCAGTGTCATTAATAATTACTTGCGAGTAGGTCTCTTCATGGAATGCGATTAATTGCCCTACAAGTGCACTGTGCAACAATACCTTTCTTTTGTAACTAGCATCAGAAATTAAATGATATGCATTTGTGATACTTGGTCGTGGTTGATTTAATATCGAATTTAGTTTAGGAGAGCTTTTACGTTGCATATTTTTGAGTAGGTAGGCATATTATAAGGATATTTAGTCCAGGTTATAGGTATATTTTTTGACAAAAAAAATTAGTTACCAGTTAAACCGGCTTTTTCATGCAGGTGAAATGATTAGAAATTAGGGAAAAATAATTAAAACAGCTGAATTTTTCCGCGGGTGTCATCCCGGGGTTTGAAAGGAGTGGGAGGTGGTAGTTACAAAAGGAACGGCATTGTCGCGCTTCCAGTGCAGATAATCGCATTCCATTAGGAGGCCCGAGTAATTAATAATGAGACATCAATTTCAATGTCAGTATAAAACGACAAAATCATCACATTTATTTTGTTAGAAGAAAATCTACTCGAAAAAATTAAAAGTAAAAGGTCATTATTTTAGCTAAACTATTTCCAAATTTAAAACGCACCAAACCAATTGAAAGAAATGTAAAAATTTCTATTGTATTAAACCAAGGATAGATTAAAGCAGCGCAGATCTTTTGAGCTAATAAATGCCATTCATTTTCATTCTACTAACTTATTTTTAGTTTGGCAAAGTGGGAATACCTGCTGAAAACGAACCGCATTAGATACCTACCTACCTCCCACACCCGCAAATCCAACTTGAACTAGTCGGCTGGGATGTTGGTTGCCTATGCTACAGTGGTAGGTATCCGAGGGACATTACTTTTACAAGAGACTGTACATTAATAGTACAATTATTGCAGGTTCCAATCAAATTTGATAGTCCAGTCAATGTCGACTAATTAATTGAAGAAGTGGACTCCGTATTTGTTTTGGAGATGGTGCTAGTAGAGACGCCAACATTGCTTGCACCCTTACACTGAATATGTGCGCCAGAAATTGAAGTAACTATTCTCTCTGCCACATCCATTTTATTTTTTAAGGATTCTTCTATATATCCTTCCGCCACATTCGACGATTTCCAACCGCCGTGACGTTTTAAAACAGTCAAATCTGCACCATTATCTACCAAAATTGTCGCAGATGTCCTTCGAAAACAATGTCCCGTGTAAAGGTTTGCATCGGACAGTTTCAAAAAGTTAGCAACGATTTGTGGAATGCTGGCAAATGTATGCACCCCCACTACTTGCTTAAATCCTTTACCATTATGGTATTTGAAGAAAAACCTATTGCAGTGAAAATTGGATGGTCGAACGGCTGCATATTTACGGTATGTTTCTAAATAAGTGTCGTTTACTATAAACGACCGTGGTTTATTGGTTTTGTTGCATGGAATCTTCACCAGTAGTTGTGAACCCAAATCCTCAATGTCCGTAAGCTTTATGTTACATAACTCCTCTCGCCGACAGGCGCCATAAATTCCGAAAATTACCACAACCTAAAAAAATTAAATTATAATCTTCAGGCCTTTCAATTAAAATCTTACTTTATCCATGAGGTAAGTATCATCTGGAGCGTTCATCATAAATTCTCGGATTTGTTCGTTGGTGAAGACTTTCGACTTCTTTGCTTTGTAACCCACGGATTGCTTTTTCAAATATGCTCGCAGTTTGTTATATGAAGTGATGTCTACATTTTGCTTTAACATAAGAGTGGCCTTCAATGGAGTAATTTGCCCAAAGTGTTGAGGGTTTCATCTTTTTCGACAAATCAAGAAAATATCCGAGTACCACATTTTCCGAAAACGAATAAGTCCCTTTACTTGATCTATATTCCATAAAACGTTGATAAGCATTTTCATACTTCTCCCTCGATTTAGTTGGCAACAGATTAAGAGTAGCTTCATTGACTGCCTCCAAAACTTCAGGTGGTGTTCCACAAAATAAATCTTCATCAAAATTACCATCGATATCCATTTTATATTAATATTGCACATCAACTAATTATAAATTCACTCAAACGAAAAAATTTTCGATTTGTTTACGTCATGTCCATGGTAACGTTCAAACAATGCATGCTCGGAAAACAAACTTGATGTTTGCATTTATTAATTACTGTAAATAAAAAAAAGGCGCCGCCCGGGTTCGATCCTCGCACCTATCGCATACAAGCCTAGACTAATGACATTAGACCAAATGACAATTGGTGAAAATTAAATTTAGTTTGAAATGGTATATTTGGTGTTTTAACTATTGGCTATCGACTAAAAAATAGTATGTACAACACGTAGGAAAAGTATATTCCTGGACTCTGATAGTTGTAAGCCTCGGCTAACGCCTCGGCTTACAATCACTATCATCGTCCAGGAATATGCAACTTTTCCTACTTGTCATACAATCTACTATTTCCCTGTCGATCTCAGACAAATTTTTTTTTCCAGCCTCAAAAAAAGGCAGTACTTTTAAGTTCAAATATTTGAGACCGAACGATCCTGGAGTGAAACTTTTTGACTCGATAGTCTGCGTAACTTAAAAACAATAGGGACCTTTCTTGTATCCTTAAGACCATTGTTGTGTACCAATTTTCAAAGCGATCGCACGTTTCTAAACAAACTATCATGCACACGGACAAACGGATGGTCAAAAATGGATCTGTTCCAAAATCGCTAGGATTAATTTCAGAAAGGCGTATGTATCATGTGCACGACGTACGATCGCTTTGAAAACTGGTACACGTATTCTTAAAGATATAACTGGTATAAGAAAGGTCCTGGTAGGTACCTGCTATATAATAATATAATAATAATATTACGCTTTTACTCCCCTTAAATTTGTATATAACAATAGAAATATAAAAAAAGCTAACCCCATACAAAGTATAACTTGATTTTTTAAGTAGTATTAATACTTTTATCTGGTATATACTATTTTAAATTTTTAATGTATTTGAGTGACAAGTATTTGAATACTTTTTACTGTATTCGAATACTTTTCAAAGTAAGTTAATGAAATACTTTTCAAAGTATTCGAATACAATCTAAAGTATTTGAATACTTATTTTTTTAAGTAAGTATTTGAATACTGTTCAATGTATCTGTATCTAGTATTCGCTTGTGCTGGACGTAAAAGTATTTACTATTCATATACCTTTAATTTGTGTAAAGTATTTACTATTTAGTATTCAAATACTTTTTGAAAGTATTCTGTCCAGCTCTGATTACAGTGAAGTTTGGTGCTACCATGTCGTCAAACCAGCATTCGCACTCAAACTTTCGTTTTCTGGCTATACCTGGGCCTTTCGACATTTTTTGTAGTTAGTCAAAATTAGTCTTTAATTAGACTGCAAAAATAATTATTTATTTGTAATAGCTAGTCAAAATACAGCTAGGTATTACAAATTAGTTTAAATTACAATAATATGACATTCTGTGTGACACTGTTTAATCCATAACTGCCCATTGAATTAATGACAGATAGTGTAACTCTTAACCGTTAACAAAGGTCATTATAGTACAGGAAACTGTAAATGCCATGTTTATTGAACTGAATAACGCCTAATTGTCTTTTGTGCGGATTAACGACAAGATCTTGAATGGACTTCTCTTGTTATTTTATTTGGTTTTTATAAGTTTTTCCCCCTGTACTACTCATTTTTAACGCATTTTTGAAATATGCCATTATCTATGGCTGGCTGGCTGTACGGTTGATATCTTTGCAATTACAATAGCTGGAGACTTCAAATTTTCACTAAAAGCTGTTTGCTAAAGTGTAGATGTGCAGGCTCTAGTCTATTTTGAGTTAGATTACTCGTGAGATCGATAATTTTAACCTTTGCTAATAAAATACTGAGCTGTATTACCCAAAATGCGCTTTCATCGTGCATGTGCTGATTTACAATTTGTTTATTGAAAATTTGTAGCTGTGTTATTAATTAATTGAGGATAGTTGTGCACAGAAGGTTTTTAAATCCAGAATTTAATTTTCTTTGAAAATATACGAGAATACATAGGGTTTCCCATTTAAAAAATATTGTGTTAAGTATCCAGACGCTTTTTTAACTTGTCTAATACCATCCTGAGCAAGCTCGATGATGAGGTTAGCAACAGTACGAACTTTACTTAGTACACACTGTATAGTACCGTCATTAGAAGGTATAAAAACGATTAAACAAACGTTAGTTATTTAAAACAAATATGTGAAGGAATAAAAAAATGGCATAATTATATGTCTCAAAAAGCAATTTTTCAACAACATTCCTAGAACATAATTTCAGTAGCATAGAATACAAAACGCCAAAATTTTACTAAACAAATAAAATGGTGGTGCTAGAAAAAATTGCTATAACATTTTTGGTGCTAAATCTGATGATCGTATTCAATGGTGGTGCTAGAGTTAGCATAGCACCCCCGAAAGTCAAGGGTTTTTCTTGCAAAATCTATAATGGGGCTAGCTGAACTCAAAGTTTTTCGCCGGAAATTTAAAATGGTGGTGCTAAGGTAACGGACCCCGTGGGATAACGCTTTACGTACTTCTGGTATTTCGCAGCTCGTGCTACGCACTCGTTAAGCACATCTTCGCATACGTACGTTGATAACCTCTTATCTCATTAATATCGTAAATAATTATACGCAATTTCATGTGACTTTGATTGTTGGAAGGACGTTATTTGATTTGAATTCGGGTCATGCACACTTGAAGAACTAAGTCGGTGGTTCTCAAACTTTCATAATTACCGATTGACTCAAACCATTTGGCGGCCCACTTCCTTTCGTTGCTATATGCAATGGTAGGTCAGTGTGACGATTCGCTCTCGTCCAAAAAAGCTCACTGGAGAGCGAGAAGATCGTCTAATTACCTCGAGGATGTGGATAAATCGTATAAAATCTTGGTGCAATAATTTTATTATTTTTTTTTTATAAATTTTTCCCTGTATTTCAATTTCATGCGCATCCCCTCACCCCCCTACAAAATTAACGCGCTCCTCTTTGAGAAACACTGAATTAAAATAGGAATTTTCTTGAAGACTATCTTCAGTTTAAATAGAGTGTATTGATAACCCTTGATAATGACAACTGTAACGACATCACAATAATACCAGTGTGTAACCGTGTCGCTATAGACAGAAAAATGCGTATCCCACCATATTTAGTGCTCATTTTATCATTCTTCCAAGTAAGTCCATTAAACGCACGGTAGCATTATTACACCGTCACTTTTTTCCAGTTTTCTGCATCCAACGACCAGCAGGATTGCTTAAAAGAGACTGAAACTGCTTACGAAACCCTGCACAAAGAGTTTCAGGGCTTTCCAACGTCGTACGACAACGACGTCGTGGGAAAGTTTTTCGCTTGCCTTTGGAAGAAAAATGGCGTAATGAACGGCGAGGGAATTGTCAACAAAGACGCGTTCATCGATTACTTTACGGCATTGGCTCACAATAACAGAGATGACACGGTCAGACTTGTTCGCGAGGAGCTTCCTAGTTTCGCACAAAATGAACAAGTGGACGCTATACGTCTTGTTAACGGCGTTAAATTAGGATTTCTCGGTCTTACTTCCGCCGATCAACAACGTAAGGACGTTTTGAAAATCATAATGACGTAAACACCGTATAATACGTCATTGCACGGTGGGATACCTACAAATTTTCACCGATTTGGCTGAAGCCTCCACTTGGTATACCAAAAATGTGACATTCTACTTTCAAATAAATTTTAAACAAATTTATTTTTATTTATTTATTTTTTTATTTTAGACACTTAAATATTGGTCTTCAAATACTTGTGAAATGTTCCCCGGGTTGAAAATGTTAGAAAAGCAATCTAAAAAATATAAAAATTTTATCATTGAAATTTATACAGTGTTATTCACTTAGAAGTAGACATAGGGATTTCCTATGTCCACTTTTAAATGACAATACTCTCCTGAAAGCCGCCTAATTTTATGCAACCAAAATAACATGCATACGCTTTTGCAGTGTTATTCTAGATTTTAACAAAAACGACAGTAAATAGTATTTATAATGAAGAGATATTAAATTCGGCCGCTATTTCCCTTAAGTTTCTTATGGGATTCTCTTTCACAAAAATTAAAATATTTCATATCCTCCGTTAAAATTGAGGGTTATTTACGGTGTCTTATGTGGATCGCATTTAAACAACCACTAATTTAAAAGTAATCAAGAGAGAAAATAAGTGCCTTACGCTCCTTAAACTGTTACCGGCACTATACCAATTGACAATATCAACTTTTTCTCCAGTTGAATACATTAGAAAACAAAAATACGGTAGCCAATTAATTAATATAACAGCCAGATCTTCATTTGTTTTAAAAAGTTATTTTGATTGCATAAAATTAGGCGTCCTTCAGAAAAGTTTTCGTCATTTCAAACTAAACATAGTGTAAACAATACACAAATCCCTATGTCTACTTCTAAATGAATATCGCTGTATATAGTTGTCACATTATGAAATTTGAACTTGAACTGAAATACGTTAATAGATATTCTATTGATTAAACACAGTCCATATTCGAATAGAAGGCCTAGAACACTTTAGAAAGTGCCTAAGTATACAATCCTTAACAAGTTTTTTAATGCTTTGGAAGGAACCCAAGGATTTGGAACAAGGTCAAACCGTTTTGCAAAAACATTAGAATATCCTAGAAGGCGTTTATGCATATCCAGGAGGAGCTTTTAGAAGACTTTAACACTATCGGCCCATAGTACTGGAAGTCTTACAAAAGTGCCCTGCGTACGTGAGTTCACAAAGCCTTAAGGAACATAGGGCTCCTGAGAAAGCGACGTGAATATTCGCAAGGACGAATTTTTAAGTCTTTGATTGCATTGGAAAGCATTGAAAAAGCTGTTCAAGTTGTAACAAAATAAGGAATAATGCATTCAAGAGAAACTGAAAGGGACTGTTGATCTACCCAAAGTTTTCTCAGGAATTCGATCTACCGTTTTATAACTAAAACCGAAACGGCGTGTTTCTCTTTAATAATGGATGTTGACATTTATGGCTGGGTGCCGAAACTTTCTAAAATTGTCCTAATATTTATACGGAGTTTGTATCGATCCAATTTATATTCAAATTCAATAGTGTTATACAATCGCGTTGGAAGTTAGAGAACACCTGTGAACTTTCTTTGAGTTGTAAACAAAGTCGAATATTGAGCGAACGTCGACACGCGTTGGAATGCATGTATAGGATTATTAATCTTGTTGAACACAAAAATGTAAATTCTTCTCAATTTAAATAATAATTCATTACTTTTGCTTATTAATGGTGCACCCTTATAATTTTACGTAATATTATATTATACTCTTTGTAATAGTCCGTAAAGAGGTGGCGATATTAGACTTAGTATCGGTAAGTCCCGGGAAAGGGTTAAATTTTTGGGATTTTGTATATATGATCGTTATGTTAATTTGCTTAGTTTAGAGAATGCCTTGTAATAACTCAAGTCCAGTCGAGAAGCGAGCGCGCAATTCGAACACCAAAAATCAAACCTGACTGAAACCCCACTGTTCATTATCGCCAAGTAACAAACCTGTCTAGCGATAGGACCTAGGTTACCTTGTGAAACGAGGTGGCCGAGGTTAAAAATGTTTCAAATTCGAATACAAACAAGAGTTACCCTCTGAAAAAACGAGAGTAGCTCTAGGGTCTTCATTGATTACAACATTTATTTATCTCCCTCATAATCGTGACTTTACATTTGATATTTAAAATAGTATGCCACCATCTTTAACGGAAATGAAAGTAGTTACTAAGGCTGCTACGTATAGTATAGTTTAGTCATAATAAAAAGCTGCAAGGGAGGGCAACATGCTAATAAAATATTAGCATAATTTGTACTGGAGCATAAAAGCGAAAGGGGAAAGGAGTGGAAATCCAACATTCAATCTTGACGTCCTGCAGCTCTCGGACTGCGTTCCATAGCCTTTTATTTTGGGCTCAAAAATAACTTAGGCTAATTAATAAAAGATTATAGAAATAAAAGAACAAATACAACAAATACTTTACGCCCCCACATAAAACAAACAGAAACTCCCACCCTTCACACAAGCCGATAACAAAAATCATAATTGAATTTTTGAAATCACTTTCCTGTGTATTGTTAAAATTTAAAATACGCGTTGAAAGTTCCATAGAACTCTAAGTGCGTACACAAAATCTGTAAGTTCAATAAACACCCTGTATATTAATCTTCAACCTCCCGCTAACCAATCATATATAACTCTGAATTCAAAACAGAATATTAGTTAAGTTAAAGGAAAATTCCACCAAATCAAAATGATTGCACAGGATTATAAACGTAATTGAAGCTACGTCCCTACATGAGAAAGCATTATGGATCTAGCTACCCCTAAATGACAAACTCATTTACAAGCATTGCGCAACCTTAGACAAAAGCCCTGCAAATTCAAATTTATAATATAAAGCACCTACTACACCCTACCTATATAGTGATACCATTACATAGAAAATAAGGGAAACATTTACCTAGTTTCGGGAATCACTCACGCGTACACACTCGCGAACTCATTGAATAATTAGGATTGTTAGATTCGTGTCAAGTGGCGTTGCGTAACTGCGCCCTTCGCCAAAAGAGGGAATGGGTCATATTCACAACTTTGTAACGTTTTTTTTTAAATTGTTATGTTCCCTTTAGTAACAGTTACGCCATCTGTATACTTTCTCTATAAATTCGCTGTGGCTTACACTATCGCCATAGATTTTCTCATAGTTTTCTTTATTCTACCGCTAGAGGTCATACAAGTTAACTATTTTAAAGTTGTTGCCTACTCTTCTTAACGCTTGTTTGCGCACTAGAACAGATTCAATCGTTACTTGTAAAAGAACACGCCGCCATTTAAGTTTTGCTGTGACATTTTCCTTCGCATGTTTGCTGATATATCTACTTCATCAAAACGCTTTTTGCTGATTTTTCTACAAGTTAAACCGTTTTACGACATGTATTAACAATTGCGTAATAACCTTGACTTCGAATAATGATTTTAGGCTTTTGTTTTCTGGTTCATTCTCTTGTCTTCCTGTTACTTCGTTGTTGTCTACCTGAATATTGCTATCTACATCGACATTCTTTTGTGAAATATCGATCTACCCGGCTTTTGGATTGCATCACCTATTGGAAAATTATTTAATACCTTCTTTAAGTTTAAATTAACGTTAACGATTAGTTTTGTATATTACCGACAGGTCGTTGTTAATCAAAATTTTGCTTTTGCTCTCTAACGTAAACTGAATTATTGTTTACGATTGAGTGACGATTTTTCAGTATTCGAGTTACTCGACGTGTCGAACGTTAGATTTTTCTCGCACTTATATGCTCTCTTTTGTTTTGTGTTTTTATCTGAATGTAGATTATTGGCAGAGAGCGCCCTTCTGAATTCAGACGGCTGCGGTCGGGGATTCAAGGGTTTTATTTCGACGTTACTCATCCGTGAGATTAACGTTTGTGCATAAAGGTTTCGATATAAATAAAGGCAATAAAATAAAATAAAATAATTCGATAATTGTTTTGTGACTACGAGCTGGTATTACGATTTGACATATTTTTGAATTAAATTGCAATAGATTTCAGTTATCATTTTACCACGGTTAGTGTTTATGTTCAACCCATTCAGTTTCTTTACCTTTATCAGGAACAGAACAAAAATAATTTAGTCTACATTGTCTCAGTAAGTATTTTTGTAAGTATTCCTTTCCCTAGGTTGAAATAATGCCGACAATGAGAGCGAGCCACCCTGTATTTGAAAATTTACGTGCTGTAAACGTAATTAGGTTTAGCATTGAAAGTTTCAGGCAGAATATCCTGTAGCATGTTTTAATTTATTTGTTTAGGGACACTTTATCAAATGGACACAGAATTTCAGATTTTATTTAATGGTTATTGTAATGTTTAGATTTTTGTATTGTAAATTGTGTATTTGTGTTAGTAATTTAAGGGTGGTTATTGTAATTTAATGAGTGTATGAATTCAAAGAATAAGGAAACATTTAAAATTTAAAAATCGACGTAAGAAAGAAGTTTTATCGGGGCACGTGTGTAAAAGCTGTTATCGGGCAAATTCATTGGTTGGTTTTCCATACATTTGTTTATTTATTTATTTATTATTTATTTCGGCCTCGGCCTAAAATACTAATTGTAGTATAAATATATCTTAACTTGAATATAGAAATGGTACCGGGATCCCACGTCGTGGGTAAGAAGATTTAAGTTTTCTTACAGAAGACAAAATCTCTTCTGAAGGGCGCCTAATTTTATGCATCCAAAATCTCTTCTTAAAACAAATGAACATCAGGTTGTCATATTAATTATTTTTTGAAATTGTTGCTTTGGCTTAACAAAAAATAAATCTCTTGCGCTCCTTAAACTATCACCGGCACTACCAATTGACAATATCCACTTTTTTCAGTTGAATACATCCCGCACTAACGAAAAATACGGAAGCCAACGAAGCGACATTCAAATTAATTAATATGACAGTCAGATTTTCATTTGTTTTAAAAACTTATTTTGGTTGCATAAAATTAGGCGCCCTTCAGAAGTGATTTTGTCATTTAAAAGTAGACATAGGGAAAACAATACACATAAATCCCTATGTCTACTTCTCAATAAATAGCGCTGTATAGGTATACTATTGAGCCACAATTACTTTGGACGCTATTTGCATTCTACAATGGGACAACTACGATAAGGCAATTGTTTATAAATACCTCGATTGTTTATGCTCGATGAGCTTTCGTGTATTCTTTAATGGGGATGATACTTGGTTCACGGTAAAATTTTCGTTCCGCTAGGTATCGCAGCGAAGCCAACGCACGGTTCGACTCCACAAGACAACTACCGTAGGTTCAGCGTCTGAGATGCATGTCGAACCGCTTAACTTACTAACACGAGTTCACTTATATTTATACCCCTTCTCTCAGTATCTGCTGTAACAAAGTCTTGTTTTTAATGTGGAAGATGAATAAACAAACAGACTCAATCAAATGATAATTTTCTATTTATATTAATTATGTTCCACATTGCAGCTCCGTTTTTATTTAGTCCGGACCGTTGGTCTTGGCTTTAGAGCCCTAATCAATCAGTAATTTTATATGACGACTTCCCCAATTTTGGCTTGGATTATTATCGTCCTGTTGATTGACTGATACAAATTGTAAGCACTGGTGGTTGCTTAGTGCTCAAAATCATAAAGGACGGTCTCCTTTTCCTGGATGCTCTTCTTCCTCATTCTCAGGATCTATGTAAACGAAATTCTACTTCTTACATGGGTTACTATTTGTGTGTCCGCTCTTTTCTGTGACCGTTTACACCCTTTACCCTACACCTTTTGCCGTAGTGTCCCCGGTTACCGCACGTGAAACAAACGGCGTCTCTGGCCGGGCAGTTACTATCAGTTCCCAAAATTTCCAAGTCGGTCTAGTTTATGAAAAACCACAGACCTCTAAGATTGCTCTAAAGGATCCCTAACATAGTTAGGATTACTGGTAGCAATCACAATCCTAATCTACAAACGAATCCTAAAATTTAAACAGGATTCGCCAGAATGTATAATATCACCAAGAATTATCTACAATAAGTAAGCTTCGATCGAGTCCTGGGTATACTATCCTGTGAAAGTTCCTAGGTGCTATCAGGTTCCCAAATTTTCGAAATCTTAATCAACGCTCATTAAGTTGCCTATTTTTAGACATATATTATCTTATTATTCCCAAAGTTCTCGATATCTCAGATTGCAAAATTTCGAACTTTCATATTTTCCAGACGATTAATTTGAAAGTTTCCTACCTTCTACCACAGGGTTTTAATATTAAGAAACACTTTTAGTGTTAGTGGTGATCTGATTGATCGTGGAGAAAAGCCGATTCTTCTTCTAAAGAGCACCTTTAATTTGAATGTGATACACTTAGACCTAGTAGAGCGACATTTAATGATAACCCTACAGTTTTGATAAAAAGTCTTTAAATACGAACATCAAATTCCAATTATAGCAGTTATCAACATGACTAAACTACTATACCTAGTGTTCATACTATCGATCTTCCATGTAAGTAAAATTACATACGCTATACCACCACAATACCTTTAGATTTTCCAGTTTTCTGCAGCCAACAACCAACAAGACTGCTTAAAAGAGACAGACACCGCTTACGAAAACTTACACAAGGCTTTTGATGAATTTCAAATCTCTATCGAAATCTGACACTGACCGAGACTGCGAGAAATGAAATAGCCAGGCTGGCCCAATCTGGCATCTTTAACTTAAATTTTGAAGGAAATGAACAAGTAGACGCCATTCGTCTGGTAAACAACATTAAACAGGGATTTTTGGTATTACTTTTGCTGATAGAGAAAAAGGTAAAGACATTTTGGAAATCATCATGGAATAAACTGTGTTTGTTATACGCGAGTACAGGTTAATATACAGTGTGTCTATTTGAGTTTTCTTTAGTGATGGTATATACAGATGTTGAGCGTACTAGTCACACTACACTTATTTTTTGAGAAATAAAAAATAATTTTTAAAAAATCCTCATAACTGAAAATCTGAAAACTACACTGGCTATACAAAGGCTCAAATGCTTTAAATAAGTTAGTTAAGTAAAGCCAAAATGTGCCTTAAACTTGGTGCTGTAAGAAACAGACCTATCATTTTAGGGCAGCTGTCAGTAGGGCCCTTGAGCCTTCAACCATTGTGCATTTCAACCCCTAATACAAATCTGCGTTCTTATAGTTAATAGGTTCGAAGTACTCCCATGTATTCGTTTGCATTTAAGTACTTAGTCAAGGAAAAAGAAGTGAGAATAATCTCACCTCCTCACTTCACACTTATCGGGAAACATACTATGGCATAGAAAACCAATATATTATTATTATTAATATGGGTTGAGTGTTGTATTGTTTAAATGCAAATACGAATCCGTAAAAACGTTTGAATGGAGCCACAACCGACATCAGAGAGAGAAAGAGAAAACCGCTCCAAAGATAATATGGTAAAGTCAAAACACTAATCCCTTTATCAGATAGATGCGTAGTCAGAAAAGTAATAATGTCCCAAAAGAAATATTTGCATGTAACCAATGCCATAGAAAACACTGCACGACCTCGGGCGGCGACATAAAGAACTAAAGCAATAAGAAATATATACTAACAACTTTACTAGAATAATTAACTTACCTCTAAAACTAGTGTATTACAAAGAAGATGGCATAAGAATATCAAATAGAAACGAGAGTACATTTATTGGGAAAAATATTCAAGCAGGAAACAAACCGTTACAATTTGAAAAATTGAAAATTTCTCTATTTGTACGATACGGACGGCGGGACATATTTTGTACACATAATCATAGCGCATGTCATCGCTCCGGGTGGGGAAATACAAGGACTGGAGATTACGACGGGGGTTCCTCAAGGGTCGGTCCTAGTACCTACTCTGTGAAACACGGTGTACGACGGGTTTGCCGACGATTTCACAGTTATAGCGCGCGATCTCAAAGTGAGGATGGCGGTGGCGCGAATGAAAGGTGCTGCCGCAGAAACAGCTAACTGGATGAAGAGCAGGCAGCCGGATAAAAAATCAGGTTCGCCATTTTGACAGGCAGGAAAAGGTTGGAGGCGGTAGGCGTTGACATACTGAGCGAGGAAACCAGGGCCGAGAAATCCAATAAGATCTTTGGCGTGGTTATCGACAGAAGCTTGACGTTTGTCGATCAAGTCTGCCATGTTACGTAAGTCGGTAATGACACAGTGCCGAACGAGGGGGGGGGGCAACGCTAGACAAGGACATCACTTCAATCTTTATGAATAAGTTGCTACGTCGCGGCTATCGGACTGCTACAAAGGACGACGTTTTGGTGATCGCCGACATTGCACCGGCGAGGATCATGGTGGGGGGGGGGGGGGGGGGCAGAGCTAAGAAGTGGAGTAGGTCCCGAAAGCTGGAGGAATGGGAAGTACCTTGATTACGAGTGTGCGCCGGGAGTGGGTTGGGCGCATGCATAGGGAGGTGAACCACCTGCTTACCAGACACCAATATCAACCCAGGGTTGACAAAACGAAAAACCCATTTAAAAAACCCACAGGGTTTTTGTGTCAAAAACCCACTCAACGACCTATACAAAAACCCAACCCAAAAACCCATACAAAAGCCCAAAGAATTTGAGACACAGAATGAGACAAAATCGAGACAGTTTTTATATAGTATTTAACAACAAAATATAATGTAGTTTACTTGGAAACAGACAGGCACTGATAGATCAGTCTTTATATTCTTATTCCTAGTTTCAAAAAAAATTTCCATTAAAATAAAAAATACAAAACGGCTTATTCATTAGGAACAAAATAAAATAAAAATTATAATTAAAAACTTAAAACAACTTTTTCTCTTTTTTAAAGTGGCTCATTTTTATTATTTTTACAAGCTTTTCTACTTTATCGGGCAGTATTAAGTTCAAAATTAATGTTATTTTTCTATAATTTGAGGTTAGAGTTCCGAAAATTCGACAAATACCCAAAAATTACCCAATTACCCCAGAAAAACACAAAAACCCAACACAACTACCCAAAACCCCACCCAAAGCATACAAAAACCTAGATTTTTGCCAACCCTGTATCAACCTGTTTCTAAAAGATCCGAAATGCTAGAATCCTTAGTGCGTATCGAAACCATCTTTAGGGAGATGGTTGTAGAACCTTCCCCATGGTGCTACGTGTCACGATGGTCAAGAGGTAGACGAAACTGCAGGGAGGCTGACAGGGTTGGCCCGTGGTCCGAACCACGTATGCCTTAAACGGGGGGTTGCTTATTGCTCGAGCCGTTGTAACATCCTGATGGTGTGAAAGACTGCACACGCTAAAAAAAGTGTGCACATTGAGGCGTTGAGCAAGATATCCTTGCACAAACGCCAAGAATCCCAAAAAATAAAGCTCCCGGACTGGAAGAAATTCACGGAAACGCACTAAGAACGTTGCTGAAGACTCTTTCTGATATTCTCGTCGAACTATTCAATTGCTGTAAAACTAGCAAACCTACATCTGTTCTAAAACTAGGTAAGAAGGATCTCGCCAATTCCAACTCGTACGGACCGATAACTTTATTAAAGCTATTCAAGAGAATTCTCCTCCAAAGACTGTATGACGAATTCCCACCTAAACACTTTTTAAATTCCCATCAATATGGCTTTATTTCCGGGCGAAAGTCAACCGACTGTGTGCAAAAACTAGTAAATAACATCAGGACGAATGCGCATCGATATTTGATGGCGGTTTTCGGTAAAATTACCGGAGCATTAAATGATCGAAATTTGTAACGAATGCTCTCGTCATTCGTAGCTATCTTTCGGATCGTTCGATCCGTTTTCCTTCGAGAGCCTTGAAGATGTCCGCCTCTAGTTTGTTAGTAAAAGTTGCCACTAAGGTTCGGTCTTTGGTCCTACGCTTTGGAAGCTCTCCTCGGACAACACCTACCGCACCCCTACGTAGACATTTTCGCATTTGCTGATGTCCGGTAGCAACAGGCTCGACCTGGAGGCAAGAACATGCTTATGCCTCCAACGACTGACGGACTGGGCCGGTAGCAACAAACTGTCGTCTTAATAGACAAGACGAAGTACATGGTTTTTGGATCCAAACCACAAAGAAATCCGACAATTCAACTATGGAACCGGTCAATCCGCGGAGTTTTCGAATTCAAGTACCTGATACTGTTATTAGGTCACAAGCTCTCCTTCGTCAAGCATTACTCTCAAGTAGTAAAAAAACGTAAAATCTTCCTTCATCTAATTTACGAATACTCATGCCTAAAATGGAATCTCCCCAACCCAAATAACACAAGTACGTGCATCGCAAATACATAGTACGTACCCCGCTGGATTTAGGGACGTACATTTCACGTACAGTTACGGTTCATGTATGTAAATTTCACGTACATGGTACGTTATTTTTGCACTACTTTGTACATGATAGGTACGTACTTTTTAGTAGCAAATATAACGTACCATGTACCTACGAAAAATGTACGTACATGAACCGTTAGTGTACGTGAAATGTACGTCCGTAAATCCAGCGTTGTACGTACTATGTACTTGCAATGTACGTAGTTGTGTTATTTGGGAAGTAGCCGTGTGATTCAGTCAACTTTCTATTAAACAACGCGTGATTGTATACCTAACATTATATTATTATTTCACGCTAAATGAATCAGGGCACAAAATACTATACTATCACCCCTTTTATACCAATGGGTAATGACAAACGCGTACCGTCTAGCATCTAGCTACAGAAATTAGAAAACTAAATGATCACCAATTGACCGAAATTGCCGGCGTACCATGTACGTATTTTGTACGTTGTAGAATACTTTGTGATCGTGTGTACATCAGACGTACATATTGGCCCCATGGATGTCCGTATGTAAAATGGAACAAAAATGTACGTACAGTGGAAAATAAGTGCTATATGGGAAGAAGTCACAACTAAGCAAAGTTTGAACCGAATTGGTCCAAGCGTTTACCAACTATAGTGTTCACAGACAGACAGACACCATCAACTCCACCATAGTTGCTCTAGATCAGTGATTCCCAAACTGGGGAGCGCGCCTCCTGAAGGGGCGCGAAGCTTTGTTAAGGGGGAGCGCGAGATCCCTGATTTGATTTGAGGCAAATTTACCTTTAAAATACTTATATTAGGTATTTTTATGTAAAATTGTACAGAGTGAGCAACAAAGATTGAAGCGTGCCGCTTCAGCTAAATTGGCAATGTGCCGCTCATAGCATATGCTGATTTGATACAAGATACGAAATACGAATAGACGCACGTCACTGTGACAGCGCAGAACGTCATTTTCGTATACAACTCCATACAAAGAAGGTAGTTTTTATATTAATAGGAACAAGCGGTGATGACGCACGCTTCAATCATTGTTGCTCACACTGTATTTGACCCATTCTTCTTGATTGAAAAACATAATATTTTATGAGCCATAACAACTTTTTTAGCACCGCCAGAAAGTTGAGAAAAATTCACCAAGGTTTTGTTATATATCAAGGTAGAGAAGTCCACTATTATTGCCTGAGCACCAAGATTACATCTCGAGGCGCTTGCGCCGAGGGGTGTAAGGTGCGAAGGCAATAATAGACTTCTCTACCGTGGTATATATACTATTTTTTTCACTACTAGCACTTGAAATCCTCTAAATTAACATATTATATTGATAAGAGAGTTAACGGTTGGACAGAATTGTTTGTTTCTTAATTTAACATGTCAATCAAGTACGTGGAAGTACAAGTCAAACAGGCCGTATTTTGTTCTGTCATTGAGATTTTTCAAAGAGTAATTTCGTTCGAATTTTTTCAAAATGTGATAATTTTAGGTATGTAATTTCTCTGGAAATTGCGAATGGTGGCAATTATTCGTTTTAGAGAACTTGTCTAAACGTTCATTGAGCGAAATTTCGGGTTGTGTTTTCTAAAAGTGACAGCGTGACAGTTCTCATTATTGACTACTAGTTAATAATAAAAAATTATTAACCACTTTGAACAAATGCCGAGAAAGCCTACTTTACAAGTGGAAAAAAAGTTAATAATCATGTCATCAGACGCTAGTAGTGAAAAAAATAATTTTTTCTACAACTGTCAAAAAAACCTGTCATTTTCTGACGGATTTCGAAACACGAAGTACTAGATTTTTAAACGGTTAATTAATAAGTAAGGTTGCTCTTGACAACGTGCGCGAAATCGTCAACAGTGAAAAAAAGTATTTCGCGCACGGGACAAAGTTAAACTTAAACAGCAATTTAATTAACAATCGGTTCAGTTGTAGAAAAAATATTGTATATAACGCTAGCGCGAAGTTATTTCGCGCATTTGACTGATATTTTGACTCGGCTTCGCCTCGTCAAAATACCTTCAGTCTCAATGCGCGAAATTGAACTTCGCGCTCTTGTTATATAAATAACTATTTTCTATTTCGGTGTTACAATGAGAATTTTGTGCAACTGTTTTCGGCAAAAACAGTGTTTCAATGAGTTCCATTGTAACATTGTTTTTGGTAACTTTTCATCTCTAAGTTGGCAGTTCGCCAAGACGTCAACGTCAAATCATCAGATGTGAAATCAAATTACGTACGTAAAATGAATGTGTTTTCCTTGATTTTTGGTACACGAAGAACTTAATACATTCCAAATCAGCAGTTTAGACATCCACCATAAATAAATGTATCTACGAGTAAAAAATTACACATTCACGGAATTTAAAGTTTCCAAATGTCAGTGTTGTGTTTATCTACGCTGCCAACTTAAAATTTGTCAACGTAAATGGTGTTGCCAACTTAAGACATATTAATTCTAAAGTTTCCTGTAGTTTTTGATATTACTTTTTAATTAAATTAAAGCCCCGAAATAGAAAAAATAGTATGAAAAACACGTGTTACAATGCTTTATTGTAATACTCCTATCTTGTGGACACTCGTGGCTCCGCTTCGCTACGCCACTCGTGCCACAAGATAGTCGTATTACAATAGGTCGCATTGTAACACTTGTCTTTCAATATACTAATTTTGATATCTTTGAAAATAAATTGACGCCAACGTATTCTCGAAAATGGCATTCTTCGGTTTTTTAGCCACAACTTCGCCTATTGGTGGACCTACAAGACTCTTTGAAACGGAAAATTAATCACCATACAATTCTGCATAACTTTGCCCATTCAAAAGGCTTTGTATCTCTAGCGGTTTCCGAGTCCCTATAATGAAAATGAAAAAAAACTAACCCTGTAATTTTTTTAATAAATACGTTTGTAGTAACAGCAGTTTTTTTTAATCGAGTGGGGGGGGGGGCGTGTGAGCAATTTTAGTTTTTCGAAAGGGGGCGACATGGAAATAAGTTTGGGAACCACTGCTCTAGATGTATGTAACGTTAGATCACTTGCTCAAAGAAAACCTTCAAGTCTAATTTTCGCCCTAAACTTAAAATGCATGTTACCTTAGCAAAAGGTCCAAACTCGGCGCGTAGAAGGTACATAGTGGTCTGATTGGCGAAAGTTAAATTTGAGGCCAAGTTCAATGATATCCAACGTATAAATGAATTTAACTGGGTTGCGGACACCACGAAATACCTACGTATCAAATTTAGTGCCAGTCGGTCAGGTCGGTAAGCACGTCGCATGCGTGTCATTCAGTAGACCAAATATGCTAAAAATGGCCATGGTAGCAGTAATTTTCTTATCAATGTTGGCGGTAAGTATAATTGAATTATACGAAATTGCTATACTTAAATGTATATTTTAGTCCGCAATGTCACACGGTCAAGAGCAATGTCTTAGAGAAACAAAAACCGATTACGAAACCCTTCACAAAGAATTCCACACCTTCCAAACGTCCAAAAGAAATGTAATTATTGGAAAGTTTTTCGCGTGCCTTTGGAAGAGGCAAGGTCTAATGGACGCGGATGGATCCGTGATCGTTGACAAATTTCCAGAATATTTTGCCACATTGGTTTCCAGGTATCGTAATTTGCCAATAACGGAGCAACGGAAAGCAGAAATCAATAGATTGATTGAGAATGGCTTGTTCGATTTGAACTTCGAGGGCGACCAAGAAAGAGATGCCATTCAGTTGGTGAACAATATTAAATATGGTTTTTTTGGTATTACTTTCGCCGATAGGGAGCCAGGCAGAGATCTTTTGGAGATCATCATGGAATAGCGCTTAATCATTGTTATGTACCTACTAATATTATAACAATAAATTAACTTGTAACAAATATAGCATACGAGCTTCTACGGAAAATTTAATCAGTTTTTCCTTGGGCGATGATAAACATAATACTGAAAACAGAATTGGAAAATTCGAAACCGTTCGAGAGTTATCATTTACACAGACGGGCGGACGGAAAGTCGTTAATACTCCCTTAGTAATAATTTACACCCCCAACTGACTCGTTTTCCAACAAATTATAATCTATGTAAAATTGCTCCTCCATAAAATAGGACGGGGTAGTCAAAAGATTAGAGAACTAGACAAAAAGTATAAAACTTATATTTTAAGTGTTATTTATGACAATTTTATTATAGGTAGATGAAGTGATAGTCAAATGTGATACCTTTTTCCAGAGAATTAAATTAATTTTTTTGGACTTGTAGTAACTTTTATTTAATTCAATTCTCAATTCGCTTTAATACTCCTTACGCGATCTGTTTATTTCCCCTGTAAGTTCGTGTAAGTTATATCGTTGCCATTGATGTCATTTAGTAGTTCACTTTCTACCGCTAGAGGTCACGCATAGTATCAATTTCTTACAGTGACTCTATAGAGACAACGTGCTGTTACGATGGTGTTATTTTCTATTGGTAATTGGTGTTGAAGTACGATCATAAAATATTTTATAAATTATAAAGTGTGTTGATGTTAAAATAAATATATGATGAATATTGAATGACATTTATGAACTTCTTTATTTTTCTATTATTTTGAAGCTCAAGACGTTTTATTAATGTTCTAACATTAATCTTTCAACATTATGTAATTTGTATTTTATATTTAAAAAACTGTGTATTCCCTATTTTGAACTTAGAAGTAAGTTTTGATGTAGTATTCTTTATATGAATTTATAAATATTTTTAATCGAGGGGAGGTGTTGAAGTACGATCATAAAATATTTTATAAATTATAAAGTGTGTTGATGTTAAAATAAATATATGATGAATATTGAATGACATTTATGAACTTCTTTATTTTTCTATTATTTTGAAGCTCAA